ATAACCCTATCGCAGATGAGATGGCCGATTTCGTAGTTTCTGACGATTCGGATGCCCGAGCTAGAAAGCGGAAACGGCCTTCGAAACCCCAAAGCGCTCGGAAGCGAACACATGCTTCTCCCGAGCAGGATGATGGTGAGCAGTCTGAAAAGGACGCTGGCGACGAGATGATGGATGATGTGCCGTCGACGTCGACTGCCCAGCAGTGGCGATATGATCCGGATAGTATCGATCCTGTAAAACCGAGGGCGGCCTCGCAATCTACGCGCAAGCCCTCTTCGGCAAAGCAGAAGGCGCACACTCGAGAGCCCGAAGAGCGCTATACTTGGCTCGCTAATATTAAGGACATAAACCGGAATCCACCCGGCCACCCGGATTACGATCCCGCAACCGTGTACGTTCCGCCCCTGGCGTGGAATGGCTTTTCGGCCTTTGAGAAGCAGTACTGGGAAATTAAGCAGAAGCTGTGGGACACGGTGGTTTTTTTCAAGAAGGGCAAATTCTATGAGCTCTACGAAAACGATGCCACTATCGGTCACCAGCTCTTCGACCTTAAGCTTACCGACCGCGTCAACATGCGCATGGTCGGCGTTCCGGAGAGTTCTTTAGACATGTGGGTTAACCAATTCATAGCCAAGGGCTACAAGGTCGCGCGAGTCGATCAGATGGAAACTGCACTAGGCAAGGAGATGCGCGAGAGGGGAGACGTCAAGGCCAAGAAGCAAGACAAGATCATCCGACGAGAACTAGCCTGCATACTGACAGGCGGCACGCTTGTCGATGGCAGCATGCTTCAGGACGATATGGCAACCTACTGCGTTGCTATCAAAGAGTCTGTCGTTGATGACCACCCAGCGTTCGGTATCGCTTTTGTAGATGCTGCCACGGGTCAGTTCTTCGTATCTGAGTTTGAGGACGACGTCGACCTGACTAAATTTGAGACGCTGGTCGCTCAGACGAGTCCTCGAGAGCTGCTCCTTGAAAAGTCTCGCATTTCAACCAAAGCCCTGCGCATTCTCAAGAACAATACCTCTCCCACGACCATTTGGAACTACTTCAAGTCCGGCAGCGAGTTCTGGGAAGCTGATCTCACCCGGAGGGAACTCGACTGCAACGGCTACTTTGCCGAGACTGAAGGCGCAGAGGAGTGTTGGCCTGGCACGCTGGCCGAGGCGAGAGACAAGGACCTGTTGATGTCTGCTCTCGGCGCTCTCGTTCAGTATCTCAGGATTCTCAAGATCGAGAGGAACCTTCTATCTCAAGGCAACTTCACATGGTACAGCCCTATCCACAAGAACGGCACGTTGATCCTCGACGGTCAGACCCTTATTAACCTTGAGATATTTGCCAACTCTGTAAACGGAGGCTCCGGTGGAACTCTATTTGCACTCTTAAACCGCTGCGTCACGCCATTCGGCAAGCGGCTTTTCCGGCAGTGGGTATGCCACCCCTTATGTAATATCGAAAAGATCAACGAGCGCTTGGATGCCGTTGATATGCTCAACGCCGACACAACCGTCCGAGAGCAGCTATCTTCGCAGATGGCCCGGATGCCTGATCTAGAGCGTCTCATCTCGCGAATCCACGCCGGCTCGTGCCGCCCCGACGATTTCGTTAAAGTCCTAGAGGGCTTCGAACAGATCGAGTACACAGTAGGCCTTCTAGAAGCTTTCGGCGGTGGGAAAAGCCTGATCGATCGCCTCGTCTCGTCCATGCCAAACCTTAACGAGCCGCTATCGTTTTGGAAGACGGCTTTCGACCGCAAGAAGGCCCGAGAAGAAAAGATTCTGGTCCCCGAGCGCGGGATCGAGGAAGATTTCGACCAGAGTCACGACAGGATCCTTGAGATTAAGCATAATCTCCAAAAGCTGCTTGGCGAGAAGAAGACCGAGCTGAAGAACAAATCTCTCAGGTTCGCCGACGTGGGTAAGGAAGTCTACCAGATCGAGGCCCCAAAAGCCGTCAAGGTTCCTAAGGACTGGCAGCAGATGTCTGCCACCTCGAGCGTCAAGCGCTACTACTTCAAGGAGCTGACTGATCTCGTGCGGCAGCTGCAGGAGGCAGAGGAAACTCACTCTCAGCTTGTTCGAGAAGTCACGCTGCGCCTCTTGCGGCGGTTTGACGTCGACTATGATACTTGGTTGCAGGCCATCCGCATCACATCTCAGCTCGACTGCCTACTCTGTCTCGCCAAGGCGTCTTCCTCCTTAGGCGAGCCCAGCTGCCGCCCCGTCTTTGTAGATGAGGAGCGCAGCCTCGTCGAGTTTGAGGAGCTACGCCACCCCTGCATGCTAAACACCGTCGACGACTTTATTCCTAACGATATCGTGTTAGGCGGCAATTCGGCCAAGATCGATCTCCTGACGGGCGCGAATGCCGCCGGTAAGTCGACAATCCTACGAATGGTAAGCTTGTAATCCCTCCTTCTGTTGGACCTAATTCTAATCCCCGCGCGCAGTCTTGCATCGCGGTCATCATGGCGCAGATCGGCTGTTACGTGCCAGCTACTTCGGCCAAGCTTACCCCCTGTGATCGTATCATGTCACGGCTCGGTGCTAATGACAATATCTTCGCGGCGCAATCTACGTTCTTCGTCGAGTTGTCGGAAACCAAGAAGATACTGTCCGAAGCCACGCCACGGTCGTTAGTCATCCTCGACGAGCTCGGCCGCGGTACATCTAGCTACGACGGCGTCGCCGTGGCCCAGGCTGTTCTGCACCACGTAGCAACGCATATAGGGTGTATCGGCTTCTTCGCTACGCACTACCACTCGCTCGCGACCGAGTTCGAGAACCATCCCGAGATCAGAGCGAAGCGCATGCAGATCCACGTCGATGAGAAGCAGCGGCGTGTCACCTTCCTATATAAACTCGAAGACGGTGTAGCAGAAGGAAGCTTCGGCATGCATTGCGCGGCAATGTGCGGCATTTCTAGCCGTGTTATCGAGAGAGCCGAAGTGGCCGCTAAGGAGTGGGAGCACACTAGCAGGCTCAAGGAAAGCTTGGAACGTGCGCGCGAAGGTTGCTACATCCCTCTAGGTATATTGAGCGACGTTGCCGCGTTACTCGACGAAGAAAAGAGTAGCGATGTCGGTCTACAAAGCATGCATGTCCTGGCGAAGGCGATCGAGGCGCTTTAAGGTCGTAGTCGTTAGGACAGGCGCCGCTACTGTTTGGCGTGCATGAATATTTCATTGTATCATAGCTGCCCCATCACCTGATGCCTGTTATTTACGTTGCTAAGCATTGCCGCACATGTACATGGAGTTGAGGTATTAGATAGACTGGGTCGGCTTGAGGATTAACTGCCGTTCTGTGTACGGCCTAATGGACATAGGGATTCGCATCAAAAGGGAGAACACCACTCTCATATTCCGGCTCTAAATTGTGCTACGGAACGCTTGTCAGGCTTCTCGGACAGAACAGCTCGATGTTAATAGATAATTTCGAATAGACTGTCATGTTCGTGTCTGGTACACAAGCTATCTATCGGTAATTTTAAGACCCAATGCGCACGGAAATACTATAACACTGCAGAAGAGTTGTTCGTAGCGAGATACCGGTAAAAAGGGTTATTCCTAACATCAGTAGCAGAGTTGTAATAACAACAGTAATAGAATCCCTATATCCATGACAGGATCCGGTCACTAAAGAATAGGGGCCATTGAAAAGTTGAACAATGTTATATTAGAATGGTATTAGGTTCACCCTTAAGATGTCCACTTTACAACTTACTCGACATTTGCTTATGCTGCTGTCAGGTTACCCTCGTTGATATTGTTCAAGCCTCGTGGGCGATTTAGAGTTTCATGAAGTAGAATGGCATCGTAGAGAGGTAATTAGTTGGAGTTGACATAAGCCGTGAATGTGCTAAACAACTTATCATATAGCATATAAACAGGCAGTACGTGACGACCGATGCCACAACTATTCTATGATTTTACTCTGTGTTTAGCCATTTAAGAACGTAGCAGACCACCCAGAGCACGACCATGTAGAGAATACAACCTTTACAAAGACCGACTTGCAATCACAAAACTGCCTAGTGAAATAAATCCATCCTTGCGTGTTCCATATGCTGTGGGGCGTAGTCGGTTTCTTCATCCAGTGGAAATAGAACGAGGGTAACGAGAACTCCATGGATAACAGTTGGTGGCTCTAAAGTATCGGTGATCATATACGAATAAATTCAGATTTGATAATCATAACAAGGGATATTTTGGTTTACCTAGGCTCCTCGAGTATCATGTGTGTGCTTTCAAGAATGCCAATTCTATACCGGTAACTTAATTACCACTTAATAAAAGGACCGCGCGTATGCTGTCGACTTCCCAACTCACCAACTTACCTAAGAACTCTTAGTTAAATCTTCAGTTCCGTTTAGTTACCATATAAAACTGCGTACAACTTCTCCGGCAAAGGACAAGAAAGCTCACGATCAGCATGGCTCCTATTAGCCTCAACGTTGTATCTCGAGGTCAGTTAATAAACATTTAGCTCTTATTGTTCATATCTTAATCTAATCGTCTCATAGGCAAGCCAATTAAAGGTCTCCCAACACAAGTATCGCTTTAAGAGTATGATTCGACGGCATTTCTATTTATCGCCCCCGGCTCTCTCTCGGCCGCTACGGCAGTCAAATTGTCTCTAACTCCGGTGAGGATACCCTCGCAGGCGCCGGAATCGCGAATAATGCGGTGGTCCACGTCAAAGATTTAGATACGGTCCCACGCACTCTGTAGATTATGATGGCTTAGGTCGTCAGTATTTGTCTGAGAATTCGGCCGCTTATATTTCCGTTTATAGGCCCTCAGATTAACTCGAAGATGGTTTACGTGATGGAGTGAGTATTCAGGGCCGCTTATCATCCACCCGCTGCTTTATAAACTCCATCTGAGGAGACCCAGTACGGCACAGACTCTAACACTCTACATGATTATGGGACAATTTGTTAAACGTGAGCTGGAGTCGCTATTCGTGCACCGCTTTTCAAACGCCACCATGCCGTTTCGAAATGTGTTCAAAAATATTTTCCACTACAAGGCACTTTATGGCGCTCTCCTAGCTTGGTTCGTCTACGTCCCCGAGAAGTCGGCTTTTTCTGAGTCATCTTCTCTAATGACATACCTTGGACTTGTCATGTACGTTATCGGTATTACCTTCAACACATATATTTATCTTATTCAACGTTCCTTACGCCCGGCCGGCACTACCAAGCGCCAGATTACATCGGGCTATGAATTTTCCTACGTGACCTGTCCAAATTATATGTTTCAGACTCTGAATTGGCTGGGGGTGCTTCTCGTCAGCCGTAATTGGTCGGTTTTGTTATCCATCGTCGTCGCGGTAGAGCAGATGAAAGCATGGGCTAATAAAAAGGAGGCGAGGTATCTGTTCGAGTTTTCTGGCGTATATATCCCGAAGAAATATGGCACCATACCTGGTATTCTATAGATGAAAGCCAAACCGCTATCTCGCTTATAATACCAGATTGTAAAGGTCATATTGGATGTTGTGAACGTGCGGCAATAGGGTATAATTCAATATTCAGATGCACACAATTTATCGAGCCCTGTCAGCTTATTTTTTTGTATCAGATCAGGCAGAACATGAAGACCTAGAGGATCAAGTGGTAGTTTCACTTCCATCTGCTCGAACGACCGAATCGTTACGTCATGGAATACCGCATATCCATAAAATAAGAAATTGTTTAAATATATTGCCGTTCTTCCAGAGAGCGGGTGATAAAGTAGCTACAAGGACTGAGTTAAGCCGACACGGTATCAAAGTATCTCGTCCATATACCTGCCCCAAAATCTTACTTAAGGTCCTTTACGCGTCGATCTAGTTGTGTTACCCGACCTTTGTCCCTTCATCGCATCACTAAGCTTGAGCAATAAATAGGTACTATACAGCATAAGGCTTTCATTTCGTCATACTCTCCGACCCAAACCCGTCGACTTCTGAGGGAGATGTCCCCTTATAATAACACGTTAATTCACAAGCTCGGGATGAACAAAGGCCCCGAACCGCTCTTAACTAGTCTGCACTAGCTGTACTGGTCAGGGGTATCCCATATGCCAGCGCGAGGTGTCCAGTTAACGCTACCGGAACACTGCGACCATCCTGCCTTAAATAGCTTATATATAGACTGCGTCATAGTTACTACGAGCCAAGCGCGGCGGATGCTCTCTGACAATATATGGCAGTACTTTATTGTCAACGATGGCTATCCAGAATTGGAATAACATTGTCCCCAAGATCCCTAGGTACGGCTTAACCAAGAGCGCAGGTGTCCCTATTAGTCCAACATATCACCAAAGACATTTCACCGAAGGACATGCATGTGCTCAGTTATCACCCTGAGAGCTTTCTCATAGAAACCGTTAGGCGTGTCATAGGTAATAGATTTGATGGCTTTGATTTGTACGACGGTAGAATTCAATTTCCGTTATGTTTCCCAGTGTCGGCCCGTTTTCTTGCTGACGAAAGCTACATGTAGATGGGCGTCGAAGGCCTCGCATAAAAAGTACAACCCCTTGTGAGTTATAGTTTACTGAGGATGTAGGCATAGAGAATAGATAACGACTAGCTCCTAGAGTGACCTTTAGTATTTGTAACGAGAATGTCCCTTTTAGGGTGGGCATTACGATTTTGTAACAATACATTATTATATAACTACCTAAGCTACTTCGCTAGAGTCGAGTTTTTAACTATTTAATCATTTTTGCATCAAAGCTCACCGAATGCTAATAATTCCAACATGTACACCTAAGCACTCAGATTTCTCTAAAACCACCCCGAAGGTAGCTCGGACAACCTAATTATCTTCGAGCTTATGCTTTCTTTCGTCTACCACGTCGCCGCTGCTAGAAGTGCCGACTAGGTCATTAAGCATCGCGGTCAGTCCGATCTCTCTGTTGATTTCCTCCATGCGTTCAAAGTCAGCCTGTGCTGTGCCTTCAGAACCGAATACGACGTCCTAATATGAGTCGACTTTGTTAGAATACACTGCAATAAAACTAGGGTTCTCGGTAGCTTCGCAGATACTCACCATCTCTTCAAGGGTTAGCCGTTTAGTCTCGGGCACGAAGAACCAGATAAACCCGGCTCCCATAAATGTTAAAAGACCAAAGAGGACGTAGGTACCATAGCCAATCTTATTAAGCATAATTGGCGTGACCTGACCGACAACTAGAGGATAGGTTAGCACCGAAGGTATGGGAGTCAGCTGAATGTTCTAGAAGACGTACTAAAATTGTTCATCCAGTTGCTCGAAGCGCCAAGAGCAGTTCCGTAGGGCCGAGAGCTGAGCGGCCAGATTTCGGCCACGATAATCCACGCGCAAGGACCCCAGGAGTAACCGAAATGGATTACAAAGAGCCAGACCATGGCAGCAGCAGCCCAGCCGGCCGCAGGTTGGCTAGCCCACTGGTTTGCGTTCTTTGCGACGATCACGGCTATGATGATATGGCAGGTAGCCATCCCGATAGCACCGATAGTCAGTATGGGCTTCCTCCCGACGCGGTCGATATAGAGTACGGCGGGCACGGTGAATACGAACATGGCGATACCGACGACGCCGGTAGCCAACAGGCTCGTAGTGGTATTGCTCATGCCAAGAGAAGTGAATATACCTATGATATGACTTGTAAGAATGATTTCATATCTACTAGTAAAATTGAGGAAATTAGGGCAAACTGAAGAAACTAAAATAAAAACCACGTACTGGGTGCATAATACAGGACGGCGTTGATACCCGTCCACTGCTGGAAGAACATTGTAACGGTGGCAACGACAACGCGCTTGATCATCGCTTTCGTCTGGAACAGAGACTTAATGGCCACAAATTGAAGCTTAAAGGTATTCCACGCTGTTAGCTCGCTCAGGTGAGGGAAGTGCTCAGCTACGGTTCGCTTTTCGAACTGCGACTGGGCTTTGATTTCGAGGAATTCAAGTTCGACAAGTTCGTGGTCAGCAGCTAGGCCACGGAGGCTGGCTAGGATTTTGCGTGCTTCGTCCTCGCGGCCGTGGTGAACTAGCCAACGCGGGGAGAAGGGCATGAAGATCATTCCTACAAAGAGGATCACAGCAGGGAAAAGCTGCAGGCAGATAGGAACGAGCCACGCAGCATCTGTTTGGAGGCCGAGAGTTGTGCCGCCGATATAGTTGGTACCGTAGTCTATCCAGAAGCTTACCATGATACCAAATGTGATTGCGAGCTGCTGGAGAGCAACGAGCGCGCCTCGAATCTCGGGGGGTGCGACCTCGGAGTTGTATATGGGCACGATCGTGGCCAAGGAACCGACGCCCATACCCGTAACGAAGCGGCCTCCGAGAATAACGTTAGGCCCACCGGACTGCGCCGTCGCCTGGATGACGACCCCAATGACGAAGACTGTTACCGCTACCAGGACGCCATATTTGCGGGAGATGGCTTCGGCGATGAACCCGGATAGCAGCGCGCCAATCCAAGCTCCGAGCTCGAGGATAGCTGTAAGCCACCCCTTCTTCGTCTGATCTGCCGAGTCGTCAAACGGGTCATACTCGCCCATATCTATAGTTACTTTATCAGCATATGACCACACACCAACAAACCAGCTAACAGCCTGAAATTTTGGTCAATGCTCACGAGACTTGAAGGAAGGCATGGCGAGAAGGCCCGAGAACATGCCCTGATTGTAACCGTACAGGATACCACCGATACAAGCGAACAAGGCGATCCTAAAAACTTTGAAGTTTTTTACTAGGGCCATGGGACCGGACGCGCCCATCATCTCCTGGCGGCGTTTGAGGGCCACATTGTACGCGGCGAAGCCCGAGTCGCCTCCCGCAACCATCGTGACCGAATACGGATGTTTCTAAAGGGCACTATTATTGCATAAGTCGACCTCGATTTCTCGGATGAAAACAAAACTGTCGCGCAGAGAAGAAGTCTCGAGATCAACGTAGCAATCCAGCCCACCAGCACACGGGTTAGACGATAGCGGTGCATCGGCGGTGCCTGGGGGGACGTCCCGATATAAATAAGGCCATGAACACACCGGTAAATGGGACATGGGGATAGGCTAGGCTATTCTACATACCCCGGAAAAGCGACGTACGATGGTTACTGCATGATAGCATCGGCCCACGCGCTAGAGTAAAGACTATGGGGACCCCGTTCAAGATATTACCAGGATGCGGGATAAATAGGTCGGTAAAGTTTGGGGTACCGAACTACGGCCGAGATCCTGGGTTGATTGGTGAGAGCAACTCCCGGTTATACGGATGACCCCTTTCAAAAGTTTTGTCCATAGGGCACCCCTATTGGGCTTGCTGGCAGCTGCCCTACACTTGGCGCGCACCTGACAGCTGAGAAGCAAGTATATACATAAAGTACTAGGTTACTTTTATATATCAAGTAATATTCTAATAGAACGGCAGGATAAAAGATTGGGGAAAATACTAAATAACATATGTTTCAATTTTCTATACGATTCCGACTTTCGATAATTATATAATTATTCTGGAGGCAAAAAGTGCTGTTTCAAAAAGGTTAAGTAGGTAGAAGAAGGTAGAAGATAGTACATGCCTCAATAAGTGAACAGCTGCCGCCAAGCATGACTAGTGCGTGTTGGGCCTGACAGGGGTCATCCGTACCATTGTATGTTTCCCGGATGACGACTTGACTTGTTGCTAACAGAGTTCTCCTTGTCGTCAACGAGTTACGAGATGAAAGGTTGAACGAGTTATGATATATTAACCATGATGGCGTCTCGCCCGAGTTGATAGACGACGCGCTTGTATGAAGCTTCTCTTCCGCAACTTGGATACGAGATCACGACCTTCAAAGGATTCTTGGAGAAAAGCTATCCTGTGTGGGGTATCTCGGGGTAATATTGCCAACAGGTAGACAGGCTGGTTAGAGCTATTCCCCATCGGGTTGAGGATCCCTGGCTTGACCGGGGTCTGAATTTAGCCTGAATTACCCCAGCTAGAAGGATTATCTGGGATTGGGGAACTCCACGTGAGGTTGATTAATGAGCATTTCAGCTGGCATTTCTCGGACAACATCGCTTACTTAGACTTAGTGTCAGTTTATCAGCCTAGGTCCAGCATGATTATTGATACTTTACATAATAGAGATCCGGCTGGAACTTGAAGCAATGTGGAGTGATCTATCTACTGCCTATCATAAACGATACTAGGAGGTAACCTAGTGGTCTCGCAACAAAGTGTAACTTGTAGCTTGCGGGATAGTGTACTGGCACTTATATTCAACGTCGAGATTTCTTTCTCCCGTTATGGCCGTTATGGAACAAATACGAATTCGACTCCCTCGTGATGTAGTTTCATCCTAGGATTCAAAGATAGTCTCTTATGGCTTCGCGTTCTAATATGGTCAACATGTCTCCAAGAATTCTAGTAAATTTAAGAGATGGCCTAGGTGACTGTAGTTGGTCGAATTTTGAGATATATAGATCGAGACGTGATATGTATTACGTCATGAATTACTTTGGCCACGCTTCCCTATGGTCGTCGTTGGGTAAAGATATAGGGCATATACTGACCCATGACTAACAGGCAACGCTTAACAGTTAGATGTGAGCATAAGTTAGTAGTTTTGCGACATGATAAGATCCGCTATCAGCCCATAACTAAAACCTCGGCTGAGTTGGCAGTTTCCATACGAGCTATATGTACGAAATATGGTATTGGACACTGATAGCTACGCCCAACTTTGCTCAAGTCAGGCCTCAACGTTATCCCTTAATGTATCGCAAGATGGCGTCCGCATCGGTCAAGACGTCTCGACTGTTGGTCCGAACAGTACAATATCAATACGATAGACACTATCCGACATGTCGTCACTTCGGGATAACTTAGGAACGTCTCCTGGTAAGGCTGTACGCAAACGAGGCGCTTGTCGAGCGGCACTCTTCGGAAGGATGTACCGCCGTCTCAGCAGTCGTGCTCAGACATCCAATCATTGTCAGGTCTGCGCCTAACGTCACTCCCGCACGTATGGCGTTGTAGACTTTCAAGGCCGACAGGCAGGTCTCTGCTACCATGTGCACATCTGCTCCTCTGCGTGCTGTCAACTCGAAGGTGGCCGAGGTGGCCTGGTATAGCTGAGTTATCACGTTCTCTGAAACGCGTGGCGGGGAGGATTCAGGAGCTAAGTGGGAGACATCATAGCCGCCTCGAAACGCACCTCATATATGATATGGTAGCATATAGTTATATTATTTATCAGCTGCAACTACCGGTTCGCCCCCACAAAATTTCCCGAAGGAAAATGATGCAGGACGACGAAGAGCTCACGTAACATAGACAAATCTAGCTAGGGTCAGACTTACGAAAGAAAAAGAAGAAGAAAAGGGCTTACTGCCTCTTACGTACGGCACCATCCGTAACCCCCAAGGTTGATAATTAACCTACCTAGTTAAACTAAGACAGGGCCGTTGCATTGCATCAGAAACCGCTACAGCTCCGAGGCACAGCGAAATAGCTTTCGAAGGAGTGTTACTACCGGCTTCATACGCGCAAAAATTTCTTTAGTTCATACATAAGGCTGGTAATTTTGATGTTGTAGCGAAGATGTTTACTTTACCGTCTGCGGGAGAGGGAGAAAAGTGGATTGTCTATTGTCTATTGTCTATTTTAAAAATATCCGACGAATAAGAGACGACCAACCCTGGATGGCCAAGAAAATACACGTGATTTTCCCGCCGTGGTGGATGCGAATAGATGCAAAGTACCGCTGATAGCGTAGCACCGACAAAAATAACGATATGCGAAGTCTGCATCTGTCGTCGGCAAAATGCTGGACAGAATACCGATGTATATATGTATATAGAGAGGCTAAGCTTGATTAGGTATTTTCTTTGTGCTTTGTCGCCCGGGTACGACGATCGTTGTTTATTTTAGCGTCAAATCTTAGACGCGCGCCTCCATCTTTTTTTCCGACCTTCTCTTTTTCAGGGGTCATCTTAACCCTTCTCTCAACTCCCCTCCTCTTGTCCAATGCCGCCTCTCCACCTTCATCGAAACAGCAGTTCTTCTTGTTTCAAAACGTCACTTATTACTGTATGTTTGCAACGTGTGAACCGGGTTGAGATTATTTAGGTTGTTGAGATTTTAATGTTCACGATGTTGGTACAACTATATTTCGACCTTTCATCCGTCTCGTCACCATGTCCAGAATGGGCGAGTCGAACCACATCAACAGCTGCATATCCACATGCGTATGCGTCTGTTCGTGGGGGCCATGCTTTACCTAGTCCCCTTACCTTATCATGATGGTATATGGAATAGTAATGTCTCAATATGCAAGGTACCGTTCCGCTTGGCTACGCCGCCGCGCTTCTTGAGCTGCTTCGAGTGATACTATGAACCGGCATGAGGGTAGCATACCAATTCTGACGGTTCGTTCCGCATCCCGGTGTAGATGATTACGTGCTCTCATATTTTTAGGGAGAGAATATAAGTCTCGGCTGTTGCGTGTAAGTGGTAGTAGAAGGGTTGTATTCGTATTGTACGGATCTTATGGTACCCGACTACGCTTTTTCGCGAGGCGCAAGACATTGACCTCTAGGAGATAATAACAAATGGTACCTTAGATAAAATTATGGGCGAATTGTTGGTAAGTTAGATATGATAATGGTTAATTGTGTCGATACCGATCTAGTCCATCCGCGTTGCCTTTTCTTTTTTTTCCCTTCTCTTCCTTCTCTTTCTTTTCTTGTATCTTCTTCGACGTCGTCCGCCGCATAGTCGCAATAGCGCACGCGCGCGCGCATAATACCTAGCCTAGTCGTTAGTCACATACGTAACTAGGAATACTTGAACGCTTAAACTCTATAGCTAGGTACCCTATAAGGCTGGCGCCTATTGATACCATCCGCTCCATTTGCTAGGTATTTTTGACCGGAATTCCGGCCCATCTCCATCTCGGTATAGTGTAGATGCTTGCAGATAAGTGCAGATACGTGCCCCCAAAACCCCCTTGGATGTATCATTATACATTATACATTATACCCATTAGCCGCCCTCCACACCAGGCCACTTTTCCGTAGCCGCCCAACTCCAGACAGACGCCATCCCGAAGCTCGTCAGCCAATATCAACGGCCTACACAGAATCTATCCACTCTTTCAGATACACAACCCAGGTTTCATGACTCGGCTTGCATGTCGGCCCCCCCAAGCTGACAATCGCTCCAGATCTGCCTCTGTCGCCATGACAGCTTTGTTTCAGATCCGCAGTCCTGGGTCTCGCGTTGCAATAGTAGGCCAAGCATTTGTCTTTCTATCCATCACTATCTATCCCTCGTCTAGTTGGACCCGAGTCGTCCGAGGCGGCTGTTACCCTTATAAGTAGAGTCGCCCATTTCGCGACCTGGTCTCGTCTATTGCCTTCCCTTCCCGGACCCTCTCGCTACAGCATCAAACGGCCGATTTCTTTTCCGTCTTCTCTTAACTAAAAGCTGTTCTCGTTTTGTTTCCTTGTTCTATCTTCCCTTGACAGCCTCGTTCGTTTCATCATCATTCGTTTGATACGAGTCATCGACCTAGCTGCCTCAAAATTATTGCCATTGCCTTTCATGGTAACTACCTCTCCTCCCGGTGAGGCTGAAAGATACGAAGAAGCTTTACCTATACAAGCGCTTCTCGAGCAGACATAGGGAATCAACCCAGATATCGCTAATCCTAATAACCCTGCCCGTCTATTCGGAACCGATACCCTTCCTTTGCCCGGTAACCCTGCTTCTTTACGTTTTGGTTTTTATGTGTCATCTCCCCGTTACGCCTACCGCCAATGAATATGCCGAAACACACTCGCTCGTCCAGCTCGAGCCATAACCGCTACTCGAACCCGAATGCCATGCCTGTATCCCTCGCCCCGTCGGCTCCGGTCCCCATCTACAGCACACGGCCATCTCTACCCTTAAACACGGGTGGATATTACCCTACTATCGCCTCAACATCGGCGCAGCCTCCTATGCAAGCACAGCCTTACGACCCTTATCCCGCGGACGTAGTGACTCAGGCCCCGATGCCTAATCGTCCTTCTTCCGGAGCCTGGACGGTCCAGGATGATCAGAACTTGTTGGCAGCAAGGCAGCAGGGCCTCAACTGGGCTCAGATCCAAAGCAGCTACTTTCCGAACAAGTCGCCCAACGCCTGCCGGAAGCGCCACGAGCGGTTGATGGAGCGAAAGGGTGCAGACGACTGGGACAACAGAAAGCTGGAGCGCCTGGCCAAAGAGTATATGAGTATGCGCAAAGAAATCTGGCAGCCGCTCGCCGCGCGCACGGGAGAGAA